TCGAGCTCGTCGAGTTCGGGTAGGGCCGGTGTGAAGGTTGGTTGCGATTCTTTCGGTTGATGATGGGTCGATTCTGGGATCGGTTCGGGGCTCAATCTTCTATTGTATAGGCAGTAGGCAGTTTCGGTAGCGGATTCTCGGGCTGGGATCTATCTTGTGCCGATCGTCTACTGCTGGTTGGGTTTGTCTGCTCGCTGGGGGAGGGCTGTGTTTTTATTTAGGTTGTTTTTCCTGTTTCTGTTTTTGTTTTGTTTGTGTTTGTTTAGTGTTTGTGATTGTGTTTTAGGTTTGGGTCGTGGGCCTCTGTGCGCCCGGGTGTCAAATTTATTACCATGTGGGGGTCCGACACTCCGGTATTACCCTGTGGGGGTCTTGTCTAGTTGTTTGAGTCGTTGTTTTATTACCCTGTGGGGGGTCTTGTCTACTTGTTTAGTCTAGTTGTGAGTTTTTTATCTAGCGGTTGTTAGCCGAGTTTCTAAGCGGTCTACTGGCCTGTCCTCCCGCTTTTCAGTCGTTGGCTGTTTGTCTTCGCACATTTGTGCGCTTTTGATTTATAATAATATCTATCGTTTACAAAAAAATATAATAACAAGCAAATGAATAAATAAAAACACGGGATTTCATAAAAACGAAATAGAGAGGTGGCCTAAGACTGCACAAGGAGTAGCTAGGTTCGAGTGGATGTGGTCTAAGAATGTGTCCTAGGACGGCTGCTCCGTAGGCCACGGCTTCTTCCAGGTCGACCTCTCCGCATGAATCCTTCCCCTCGAAAAACTCCATCACCAGCTCATGCACTCTCGGGATCTTTGCGCTTCCCCCGCTCAGCACAATCGTGTCGATATCTGATTTCTTCAAATGCGAGTCCTCGAGCACCCCCTCACCTTACCCCAACATCCTTTCAAACAAATCCGCTTTCAACTCCTCGAACCTCGCCCTTGTAACTTCCTCTGAAAAGTTAAACCCTTTGAACGCGATCTCGACCCACACTCGGTCCCGACTACTGAGGGCCAATTTGGCCCGTTCACATTCCCTTTCTAGTTCCCCGAGCGCCTCCTTAATTCCGGTGATGTTGACTTTGTGCTTCTCTTGAATGAGTTTGGCCAAGTGGGCCGTGAGGCGGTGGTCCAAGTCGTTGCCACTGAGTCGGGTGTCCCTACTCGTCGAGAGCACCTCGAAGTCGCTTCCGCCCTCTACGGCCATGATGCTCGTGTCGAGCGTTCCGCCGCTGAAGTTGAATAATGAGGACGTTCTTAGCGAGGATGTTTTTTCTGAATTTTATGAAGTGGCCATACTTCTCGAGGAGGCGGTCTTGGGTAACTGCTGCAAAAATCGGCTCATTCATGATGCGCTCCACGTGGAGTCCTGCCATTACCGCCGCCTCCTTCATTGCATTTTGCTGCGCCTCGTTGAAGTAAGCTACGCGCAACGAAAACAATCCAAACTTGTTGATTTATTTTTTTCCTGATTTTCATTTACCAAAATAAATAAATAAATAAAATGTTGTACCTGGAATTGTGATGACAACACTGGTGACATTCTGCCCGAGGTAGGACTCCGTCGTCTCCTTCATCTTTCGAAAAATCTTAAAATATAACTTATAACAGTATATATTACAAATATTAAATATATATATATATGCATATATATGCAGTCAATCATTACTTTAAATATTTGAATTTTGTTATACAATGCGAAAAAGATAAAGAACACAATGTAAAAACCAGATACAAATTATAACATGCTTTCTTTCCTTCACTTCTTCCGTACCCAAAATTACAATCCCTTTTGGCCCTTTTATAGACAAATTCTAAGGGTCTTGGCACACACTTCAATACATATAATAATAATTCACATGATAAGATTGTAATTAGTGGTAAATTCTACTTATCATAACACTCCCCCTTGGAATTACCACTATTAAATGTGCGGAAAGGAGTAGCCTGGTCACAGATAGACCAGCTCCGAAGTCAAAGACAGCGGAAAACGAGAAGTCATTTATGCTGCCTCGTTAAAAACCTTGTCTAGAAAAACCATGTGGAAAAAAAACCGTGATAAGGAAAAAAGAGTACAGCCGCACATACTCCCCCTCGAGTTATCATCTGTGCAAGTCCCGAAGATGTCTCATTCCAATGTTGTGGACGTGTTTTCGAAATATTTGTCAGCGGAAGTGCCTTCGTAAATAAAGCTGCTGCATTATCGCTTGATCGAACGTATTGAA